AAAAATTCTAAAAAACATATCTAAGTCATAACCTCTAAACCATTTTAGATGGAATTGAGATTTCAGTCTACTTAACCATTTTTAATCAACATGCATGTTCAATAGGCAATTACTGATAACATGAAGATTGATAACGCCATACACTTAAACTATGATATAAGAAACCCATTTAGGGAGTTTAATTAGGGCGGTAGAGCTACTAAAAGCTAGAGCTTTGGGGGAAGTTACCAAAGTTTCGTGCTTTCATAACAGGATTAACAAACAAGCAGAAAATTAACGGTTTCGTTTTCCATTAATTATCCCAAATTAAACAAGCTAGCTAGAGAGTAAAGCAAACAAAATCTAGTCAAACTTCCATAAATCTCACAAACAACAACAAACCCACTAAGTTCCTCCTTAATTTTCGTCATTAAGTCTCAAATTCAATGTATCAAATCTCTGCACAAATATTTCCCCCCATGCACTCACTCACTCACTACATAATAAAAATAAAAATTCATGTTAATTTTTGTTCCAACATCATATGCTTATGTTTCTGTTCCAAATTATTAAGACACAGTATTCATATATTTATTAATTCAATATCCCATTGCTAATCCAAAATATATATAAAAAAAAAAGGAAAACACAAAAAAAAGGTAACGGCAAACTCATAATTATGTCGAAAAGTAGGGGCAATCTTGTAAGTCAATCTTCTATAAATCCCCCGCCCCTCCTTCCCTTCCTAATTCCCCTCCTTCCTTCCGCTCTCACTCCCAACTGCAACCAAACAGCGAAAACATTTTCTCGCCGGACTTTCTCGGGAAAATTGAATCTCTCTCTCTCTCTCTCCAACATCAAAAAAATGTCGGCCGGATTCTCCAAGTGCGCCAAAATCCGCCACATTGTAAGGCTCCGCCAAATGCTGCGGCGGTGGAGGAACAAAGCCAGGGTGTCCTCTGCCAGCAGCAGCAAGCAAATCCCCTCCGACGTCCCTTCCGGCCACATCGCCGTCTGCGTCGGCTCCAGCTGCCGGAGATTCGTGGTCCGGGCCACTTACCTGAACCACCCGGTTTTCGTCAAGCTCCTGACCCAAGCCGAAGAAGAGTACGGGTTCTCCAACCAGGGTCCCCTGACCATCCCCTGCGACGAGTCGGTTTTCGAGGAAGCCATCCGGTCCATCTCCCGATCCGACGGGTCGAACCGGTTGGAGGATCTCAAGTCGATGAATTGCAACCCGATTCGACGGAAGCCGTCCGAATTGTGGACCGAGTCCCGGCCTCTGCTCGCCGAGAAACCAACAATCTGGTGATTCAGGGGAATTGGGGTCGGGTGGAATTCGGAATCGGTTCTGGGTTTCTGGCCCGGGAAGTCGACTCGGGGTTTAGTTTAGCATAATTTTTTGGTTTGCTATACGGGTTTCACTGAGTTGATGAGTTGGGGTTGCTGCTGCTGAGTCAACCGAGCGAGTTGACGCGACACACAGAGAAGACGAAAGAGTGTATAGTTATATGATTACTGTATGCTCTCCTTTGAGGAGAATTACCAATGGAGATGGCTGAAAGAACAGAGTGGTCGGGCCGAGTTGTTGACCCATTCTGAGTCGTCCCGGGTTCGAATCAGAGTGGAGGCGGAATCGGCCGAGTTCGAGTCGGGTCGAGTGAGCTAGCCAGCGAAACTCTTTTTGTAAATTCTGGTCATTGTTATTGTTAGTATTGATTCGATTAATTAATGGGTGGGGTAGAAGAAAAAAAGGAACATTATAGAGGAAAGAGAGTGATTAAGTTCCTAATACCATTATTGTTTCACCCCTCCCATTAATTTTAGTGGTTATCTTTCTCTTTTCTTTAATAATAAGACAACAATTTGATCTCTTCGAAATACTACATTTTATCTCGAGATTACTTAATTATATCTAAATACATATTGAGTAATTTTATTAATATTTTTGATTTTCGAGTTGTCGTATATACAAACTATTTCATGTTCATCTGAGTGTCGATTGTTTAACTCTTAGATAATTTTTTATGTTGCCTTGCATCTTCTCGAACCTCGCTACACTAAAAGGAGTATAAAATTGACTTAGTTCTTCATCCCAGAGATATAAACTAGACCAACAAAATCTAAATTCACAACATATAAAGAAGTACATGCAAAGTTTTGAAGATTATATGAGTTTGAGTCGCAAAAAGTAATCGTCTATTTGACTATTTGTGGAAATTGAAATGGTAATAATTATTCTATCCGAGTTTGATTATTACAACGACTAAATAATGAAACTAATCAATTAACAGTAAATTTAGCGAAATATGATACCACAACTACTAAAATTACTATATGGCCGACTAAAATCCCCAAATGAGATAGCCTAATGATAATTTGAGAATTATATAACGTATGCAGAATGCTTTGTTTCAAACTTTGGAACAATAATCAATTAAAAATATACCGAACTTCAATTATCTTGCACGGGAACTTTTTGTGAGAGGGGAAAAATTAACAATGCTTAGCATTTTGGAAGTTCACTTCTTCTTCTCTTTTTTAGTTTATTTTATAAATGGAATGGTTTTTGAATGATTGTGGGTGTTTTTATGTGGGATGGAGGGAAGAAGGTATAATAACACTATGCCCATGTGAAAGCTAAAACAAAGTAATAATGCTCCAATTTTCATCTCTCTACATTTTGCTTTGTCCTTTTCATAGTCCCACTAAAAATACGTATTCAAGTAGATTTTGTTTCGTTCTCCTTTTTTGTGGGTGAAAAATATGAAAGATACTAGCTGTTTTCCCGGCGAGAAAAATAAAAGAAAGAGAATTGGATTTTGCACCTTTGACTTCCAAACAAACGATTGAACAACACGGTTCACACCTCTTTGAACAAAGTTCAAACAAGGGTGCTCAATGTTCTTGATGAACTACGAGACAAACTAAATTACATTAAATCTACCCTTATGGAGGTTCAGTGAGAGCTCCAGATCTACAACTATGGCTATGACTACATTTACTGAGGAAAGGTAAAGATAAAAGGATAAAATTCGACAATAGGTTGTCTGGTGTGATTTTGGCCGCCCTTTTCTCTGTCATCTTCACCTCCTATTTATAGCCACCAGAAGTAACTCCCCCAAGAAACTGCTCTGCTGACGTGGAGTGACGGTTACCCACTCAACTGCTATGACGGTTACCCTGATGTTGGATGTGGGATCCTCTTTAGTCTTGACTTCCTCCTCTTGAGACCTCAACCTCTGCTCTTGGCACATATGGGTGGGTACTCGAACCACCTGAGTCCAAATGGCAAAAATACTTCACCATTACGAGAGTAGGGAGACCACGTGCTCAGATGACCCCCCTTGACCACCTCATGAGGGTGGTGTCTTGGTAGCCCACCTGGCAACCTCATGGGGCGATGTTGACCACGCCCCTTGGCCTTACCATGAGGGTGTATGTTGGTGACCCCCTGACCATGCCACAGGGGGTGGATATTAATCACCGCCATGATCATATCATGGGGATTGCACGCTAATGGCGGGGTGTGTTGATGGCCACCCCCTGATCATCTCATGGGGGTTCTCCTTGCCATCCTTGGTGATCATATCATGGGGATTGCATGCTCATGGCGGGGTGTGTTGATGGCCACCCCCTAATCATCTCATGGGGGATTCTCCTTGCCATCCTTGGTGATCACCCTCGTGCCATATCATGGTGCCTCCTTGCCTCACCATACTTAGTAGTATTTCACACCGCATGGGGGTGGTGATCCCACGCTACTCCATGAACACTCCATGGGGGTGGTAATATGACCCCCTCACTACGTCCTGGGGGTGACAATATGATGCCCACCCCCTTCCATCACCCACTCACCATGTCATAGGGGTGGCGGCATGATGCCCACCCCCCTTGCCACGTCCTAGGGGTGGTATGATGGTGGCCACCCCCCTTGGTACCTCCTGGGGGGGAGATATGATCACCCCCCTCACCATGTCATGGGGGTGGCGGTATGATGTTCACCCCCCTTGCCACGTCCTGGTATGATGGTGGCCACCCCCCTCGGCACCTCCTGGGGGTGGTGGTATGATGCCCACCCCCCTTACCATGTCCTATGGGTGGTATGATGGTGGCCACCCCCCTTGGTACCTCCTGGGGGTGGCTACCATACTCCTTGCCTTAGCCAAATTCGGCAAGCAATCACCCCCATCACGGGTGGCGGTATGATGTCCACCCCCTTGCCACGTCCTGGGGGTGGTGGTATGATGCCCACCCCCCTACGTGTCATGAGGGTGGCTCCCATACTTAGCCAAATTTGAGGATGCATGGCACGCGTGGTGGCACGGAGTAATGGGCCCAAAAACCAAATCCTCATGGCCCACTCAACTGATTTAAACTGATATGATTAAGTTGGCCTTATAAAGCCATTTAATTCCTTGTTTTTAACCGATGTGGTACAAGGTTAATTTTTGGTGTAAACAATTGCCCCCCAACTACTTAGTGCATAAGAATTATGGACAAAGTAGTTTCACACCAACTAGGCTATCAAACTCAAATACTTGGCCTTACAATTTAAATGACCAAAACAATCTCAATTTCTTCTCCTTTGCTGCCATGTGGGAGGAAGGAAGGGAGTCAAACATAATTATTCCATAGTCCTTCCATCTCGACACAACCGTGCCCCCCATGCCACTGTGACCACCAACACTTATGGTCAATCTTAAATCACACGGCGTGGTATCTTTTGAAGTTATTGGGCTAGAACAACATCATGCACCCCTAGTTAATCCAAACTACTACTAATCATACTCCATGCCATTCACCATCACCTCCATGTCTTGTCATGGGGTACATGGTTCACAACTTTCAAAATTTTAAAGTTTGGCATGGTTAGGCCACCTTAATGGCCTGACAATACGAGTAACGATTGAGGCTTACCAGTCGTGGCAAGATTCTCACATAAAAACCTACTAACTTCTTCTGAAACGTGCCACTTTGGCATTTTAAATATATATATAGCCATGATTGGCTTTTCTATATTAACTATTTTTTCCTTTTTTTATTGCATATAATAAGTAGTTACAAGCATCATTGATCTCCATACCCTTTGGCAATAACCAATGTGCAAAGGTATACACCCACTGCCAAGTCAATGTATTAAACCAAACCAGCCAACCATACACCATTTGTCCATGGTTGTGCAAAGGAGATGATTCTTCACAAGCTGGCTTTGAATCACCACCTTCACCATTTCTCCCCTTCTGACCCTTACCATCACTTTGGACTTGGACATGCGTGCCCTTGTCAGACACTATTACTTTGGGACCCGTGGCCATAGAGTTGTCCACCTCAATAGTAGCATGACCATCCTTATTTTGTTGTGATGGCCCCACTATCTCACCAGATACTACTGGGTATTGCCCCTTTCGTGCTTTAGCATTCTTATGTAGGAATCTCCTCCTTTGAGTCCTTGTCATCCCTCCAATAGCTACTGGTTGACTATGCATATCATATGTATGCCCCCCTCCTTGTGTCACATTGGGCATCTTAGAAGTCCTTCTCATGGGAAGAGGGCCATGTGCCACCCATTGCCTTTTTTGCCCCCATGTCGGTTGAATGACCCTCTCTACTTGTCTTTGATAGGATGGGTATCTCAGCCTATGGGGTGGGCCAATTCTTTGTTGGACTGGTCGATTCGGTTTCACTTCATCAAGTCTAAGATTCCTTTTGCATTGGGAACATAGCTTCTCCACCTCGCTAGACACCTTAGACGCGGCCGAGTTGACCTGCTTGCCCCTCGATGACTTTCCCTGCTCAACCACTACCTTGGGGATCCCTTGTTGCGGTGTTGTATCTAACACCAGTTTGAAACGAGGAAGCTCAATCTTGGAGAAGTCTGGATTAACCATGTTAACACCAAGCACGTTGGGAAATGGGTTGGTATCCACCATGATGGCATCTTTCTTTGGCTCGGGGAGCTTGATGCGACCCTTCTCAATAGCATCATGCAATATATTGCGAAAAACCATACATGAGTTTGTGGAGTGTAGCATGTTGTTATGCCACTTACAATATGTTTTCCCTCTTAACTTCTCAGGGGGTGGAATGTTATGCCCCCCTGTCAACTTGATTTGACCATCTTTGTAGAGTTGGTCAAAAATCAAGTCAGCTTTGGAGATATCGAAGGAATACCTCCGTGGCTGGATAGGGGCACGATTTGGTCCACCCCTTTGTGGTTCATTGTCCATCTTAGCCAAAGGAGCACATACATATGGCTTCCCTGGAGTTAACTCAGCCAGGTCTACCTCCACCTCATTGGCCTCTTGGCCAATATGGTTAACAGGGTAGCCGATGTTAGGGAAGTATTGCCCCTTTGAGGCACTCCTCCTATTCTCCTCTTCTTGAAGAAGAGATTCATATCTCACCGAATAAGACATGAGTTGGAACAAGTCAGAGAATTCTCTATCTTGGAATTTCTTCCTTAACTCAAAACTCAACCCCCCTTGTGCTAACTTGACAAACTCTCTCTCTGTCAAGTTGACAAAACAACGGTTACGAACATTCTTGAAGTTTGTCAAGAAGTGCTCCACTGACTCCCCTGGCTCTTGGCGCATTCGTGCCAAATCAGCCATGGAAACCTCACGCTCAGATCTATAGAACTGAGCATGGAAGATTTGCTCCATTTGCTGCCATGTTTGGATGGAGTTGGATGGAAAATTGACATACCAGGCAAAAGCAGGTCCTGTCAATGAGTTTCCAAATACTCTTAACTTAATAAAATCTCCCACATCCCCACACTGGACAGTAAAACGTCCAATGTGCTCCACAGTAGACTGGTCCCCTGTCCCAGTGAATGTGGCAAACTCGGGCACCCTAAACCCCCTTGGGAATGGGTAGAGTCTATCCACCCACTCAGGGTATGGTTTTCGATAAACAGGTGGCATGGTGGGTCTCACTCCCATGCCAAATTGCTCGGCAAGAAGTTGAGCCACCTGATCCCTTAGAGTGTTGGGATCATGCCCCCCTGGTTGCCCGCCTTGGGGTACGAAACCCATGGGGTCCATGCCATGCCCATTGAAATGGGGTGGCATGGGTGTTGGGTATGCTCTGGGAGGAACTTGATCTCCCCCACCTAAGCCTACTCCCCCTCCCATGTGAGCAGGCACCGTATAGGGCTTTGCCATTGGTATGGGTATGGGTGGCGGTTCCACTGGAGTAGAATGTGCAACTCCCAAATTCTCACCACGTGGGGGAATTTCTCCAACTCCCACATTGGGTATCCCTTCCACTTGGGTAGTGGCAGGAATCTCGCCGCGATTCATGCGATGAGGAGTTGGTTGGTTTGTCATCAGCGGAAAGAGGTTATCTTGCCGTGGCTGACCATTTCCGCCGCCGACGGGAGATGAACTTAAATTTCCTGAATTGCTATTGAGGTTTGAATTCCCGCCATCTAATGGCAGAGCTCTAGATTGGATTATTGGCGTGGTCAAAAATCTTCTAAACTCATCAAAATCACTTTTGTTCTTATTAACCACTTCAAATAATTGACTTAGACGTCTATCAACTCTAGAATTAAGACAGTCCATTTGAGAATTTACCTGATGAGAAGCAGCTCTAGCCTCCTCCATCATGCGGCGGTTCTCCACCATCATTTGGCGGTTCTCCTCTGTGGCTTGACGGTTCTCTGCCACCAGTTTGCGGTTCTCCTCCATCATTTGACGAAGGACCCCCACTGCTTCACCAATATCTCCACTTGGCGTCGCCGTTGGTAGGATCTCCGCCCCACCATTGTTTCCGGCCACCGCCTCTGACACTTGGCCATGTTCAATGTTGGCCACCTGCTCCTCCACAAAACCAGCCGGAGCGTCACCTTCTTGATTCCTCCGCCTCGGAGCCATCAAATCGAACACACAGGTCCCACCAGGTGTGCCAATTTGTTTTCCCGGTGAGAAAAATAAAGGAAAGAGAATTGGATTTTGCACCTTTGACTTCCAAACAAACGATTGAACAACACGGTTCACACCTCTTTGAACAAAGTTCAAACAAGGGTGCTCAATGTTCTTGATGAACTACGAGACAAACTAAATTACATTAAATCTACCCTTATGGAGGTTCAGTGAGAGCTCCAGATCTACAACTATGGCTATGACTACATTTGCAGAGGAAAGGTAAAGATAAAAGGATAAAATTCGACAATAGGTTGTCTGGTGTGATTTTGGCCGCCCTTTTCTCTGTCATCTTCACCTCCTATTTATAGCCACCAGAAGTAACTACCATATAATTTGACATTTGACATTTTGAGAGGGAGGATGGGAGTTGCAACTCCCGGACTTCAATACAATTTTGATTAACTACCATATAATTTTTTTGGAAGATGTCAGCATACAAATTTATCCTATCAGAGTTTTAATTAAAGCTAAATGTATTTTGAAAGTTTTATATAAATCAATTTTTTTAATTTGATAATGATTAAATTGAGTTAAACTTTGACTCAAATGTGGGTAGAGGTTAGGGTGCTAACATCCAATTTGTTAGTATGACGATAATAATAATTTCATCCAATATAAATATTTCATTTCAATCACTTTTTAATTCTAGCGGGTTGACCACAATCAGTGGCGGAGCCATTCACAGGGGAGGGGGTGCTTGCAGCCCCTTAGCCTGGGGCAAAAAAATAGCGAGTAGGGTGGTCACGACTCACGAGGCAAGCATCATCCTTGTCCTCTTAATTAGTGGTGCAAAAAGTAGGAATCTTAGCTACTTTACACACTCATAAACAGCAGCTAGGCAACTGTCCACTGAGATTATAGAAAAATGGCATCATATTGTCAAGTTGAAGCTTAGCTAGCACAATATGTATAAGTATCAATCAAATCCCAAAACCATTGTACAATCATTAATCACACTAAGAACTTGCATTGTAAAACCATGCTACATGTACAGAAAAGATAGTAGTCGGTATTTTGTGGTTAACACATACGCGATATTAGTCCTTATACACATACCCCTTAACCTATAACAACGATTTGTCCTTAAAATAAAAATTTTGGTTATCAGTTGAATTCCCGTGACCTACCATTCGATGACAAGTTCAAAAACTTACAAGGAATTGATGAGTTAGCAAACAAAAAATGGTGGAAGCAAAGAAGCACAAATTATATCCATATGTTTATTTGCTCCTTAAGTTGACACTCATTCTTCTGGTTGCAACGACAAGTGTGGAGCAATCATTTTCATCCACGAAATATATAAAGAATGATTTTCGAAATCGAATAATGAGTGGTTACGACGCGATGGTGACATATATTGAACAATTTGTGTGCTAGTTTGGACAATAAAATGTGTTCTAGAATGCTTTCAGAATATGAAATCTGGTAGTGGTTCGTTATAACCAGTGTAAGTCGTAATTGTATGAAGGTTGAGTATTAAGTTGTTGACTTCTTATTTCGTTAAGAGTTGACTTTTATATAATGTATTTGATTTTTTTATGATATGAAAAAACACCCTCTTAGCTACTTTTCTGGCTCCACCACTGACGGCAATTAATTTGAATTTATAAAGGAAGGGGCACGCTTGACATCAAAAATTAAATGGGCACGCTTGACATTAAAAATTAAAAGGGCACATGTGTGTGATGTTAGGTATTAATTCTGTATCACCACAAGTATCATGAAGTATATCACAAAACACATACCAGAAACACAACAAACCACACCACAAATACCATAAAGCATATAAAAAAAAAACTTATAAAGCAGACCATAACTTTACCACACCACAAAATTCCTAAATCTTACAAAAACTTCAAACCAAACCATAAATTCTCTGAAGCATTCCACAAATCTTATAAAGCATACCACAAATTCTCTGAAGCAGACCATAAGTTTGTGAAAGCGCACTATGATCTCTCTAATGCACACCAGAAACCTCATAAAGTTTACCACAAGCTTATTGAAGCATACCACAAATATCTTAAAACACACTACAACTTCACCAAGGCATGCTAGAAAGCTCATAAACAGGTTTATTAATGCATGTCACACGTTTATTAAAGTACACCACAAGTTGGTTAAAGTATACCAGAAACCTCATAAAAGAGGCCGCAAGTTTCTTAAAGTAAAATATAATTCCCCATCAATTTTTTAGAACTTATATGCAAAAAAAAGTACTAAATCTTTATAATCTATTAAGTTTTCATACCAAAATGTAATTTACAAATGAAACCCAAATTCATGGGAGTTGAGACGAAGATAAAGAAGTTGTCATATGCAATGTAGTCAAAAGCTAGCTTTAAAGCCTAAAAGCCGGAAAAAATCCCAATGTACACATGTTCTTAAAAAAAATTCCCAAAATACATAAGTTATAAAAAAAATTACCAAAGTACACATGTTTGGCATTCACCGTTTTTTACAAACGCAGTGAAGGTGATCACCGCGTTTGACAAAGACGGTGAATGTTTCACCGTTACTTCACCGTTTCGAATTAAAACGGTGAAGGGTTCACCGTTTTGGTCTAACACGGTGAATACTTCACCATTTGTGTCCAAAACGGTGAAGCGACGTGGATCGCTGACGTGGACAAACGCGGTGTATTCACCGCGTTAGACAAACACGGTGAATACACCGTGTTTGTTTACGTCAGCGATCTGCGCCCATGTGCTTTCACCGTGTCCGTTGGATGCGGTGAGGCGCGGATCGTGGTTTTCTTCCCACGATCCGACGCCTCACAACACGCCACGTCCCCTCTGCAGGGACCGTTTTGGGGAAAAGCGATGCCTTCACCGCGTCCCTCAAACACGGTGAAGGCTCTCCAATTAAAAGCTGCGCAGGAGCCTCCCCCCTTCCCCCAACTATAAATAACCTCCCCCCTTCACTTACAACTCACACCACAACCATTTCACTTCTTTCTCCCTCAATTTATCCGCTCTAGTCTCGTTCTAAGTATGCTCTGTGGTTGCGGCTAAGTCCGATCTTCCACATCAGAAAGAATTACTAGAGTTTGACCCTAAAGCCCCCGTCCCGCTAAGTTCCCGTCCCTTACAAACCTAAACCCGTCGAACCTCTGTCCGGCTTCCGCCAAAAAATGGACGAAGAGGATCTTCGTGTAGGTTTTTGGTTTATGATTTTTTTTTAATCGAAACAATTTGATTTTGTGTTTTTTTTATCAAAACAACCTCTGATTTCATTACTTTTTTATAGATGGGTGCCGAGATATACGATCCTCGATTGTATATCCATTATGGCCCAAGGGATGCGAGTCTCTTAACCGATCAAGAAGCTCATCGCTCCCGTGCTATTTGGGATAACAATCCGGTAATTTTTTGAGTATTCTTGCTTTATTTTATTATTTTCTAAGGTTTTATTTTGCTTTATTTATTCTAATAAATTGATATTTTCCCTATTTTTTTTAGGAATCTCTTGTACCCGTGGTTCATAAAGGGACCAATAACTTGCCCGCTTGGCATCCAAGGTTGGATCCCTATATAGCGAGGACCGGTTTGGGAATGTTGCGCCATTTCTTGCGGATCGAAATCGACAACGATCTGCTTACGGCAATGGCGGAACGATGGCGTCCCGAAACCCATACATTCCACCTTCTGGAGGGGGAAATGACGATCACCCTCAAAGACGTGGCGATCCTCACTGGGCTTCCTATTTCTGGAGATGCCATCATTGGTTCCACGACCAAACCCGAAGGAGGTTGGGGGCCGCTCATACGTGATCGTTTGGGCTTCGACATGCCGACCACCACACCAATTCAAGGACGGGGGCATCCACCGTTGAATCCGGGCCAAGTGTCGGTCCCGTGGCTGGTATCTCACATCCAGCAAGAGGTGGAAATCAATGACGAGACACCGAAAGAACAAGTCGAGCGCTACGCCCGCATCTACCTCATCGGTTTGGTGGGTGGATTTTTGTTCCCCGACAAGTCCAATCGGTGGATTCAAGGCATATGGTTGCCATTGCTCACTGGTGACTGGGATGCAATTGGAGAGAAGAGTTGGGGATCGGCCGTGCTAGCGGGCGTATACCGGGAGCTGTGTACTTGCTCGAAAGTTGGGGCAAAGCAAGCTGGTGTTGCGATGTTCATCCTACAACTGTGGGTATGGGAGCATCTTCCAATGTTCGCACCTCTCGACCCACGTCCATACCGGAGAAACGATGATGAGCTAAACTTTCTGCAAAATCTCCCCTACGGTGTCAAGTAAGTTTATTTAGCCCAAGTTAAATTTGATTACATGCTTAGCTAGATTTAAATTGAATTTATTCCGTACTTAGCCCAAGTTAAATTTGATTACATGCTTAGCTAGATTTAAATTGAATTTATTCCATACTTAGACCAATTTATTTATTATTTGCTTAGCTATATTTCAATTAAATTGATTCCGTACTTTTACTTACAAGGTGGATAGGAGCAAATACGAATGACCATCAACCTGAGCATTCGTTACTGTTTTATCGTTCTGAGTTAGATAAACCTTGGTGGAATCAGGTAATCATGTTTTGTCCATATTTGAACAAGTTAAATTTTATCAATGTAAATGGTCGTTAATTCCGAATTTTGAATGAATATAGGTTATATGGGA